AAGGACGATGCAGCAGGGGGCGGAGGTGTGGCCATGAGCCCCAGAGTCTGGGAAGTGAGGGAAGGACATGTGTTGGGAGAGAATCAACAGCCCTAACCTAAGACTCACAAAAGAAAAACACAGTGTCAATATACATCTAAAAAATCAATCTCACTTGGTAGTTGAAGTGAAAAGAAAGAAAAGGAAGAAAGGAAGGAAGGAAATCCATAAGGGACCATCTTACGAGCCTCATGTTGGCAAAGATGAAGAAAATGGTCCTACCTGGTGTGAGCAAACACATTTGCCCCCTGTCACTGTTGGTAGGACAGAAAATTGGTGCAATGTCCCTGGAAAGCAGTTGGGCAAAATAATCAATAGTAGCTTCCAACGATGCTTTCTAAAAAAATTTTTTAATGTTTTTTTAATTTATTTTTGAGGGAGAGAGAGAGAGACAGACAGAGCATGAGCAGGGGAGAGGGAGAGAGAGAGGGAGACACAGAATCCGAAGCAGGCTCCAGGCTCGGAGCTGTCAGCACAGAGCCCGACGCGGGGCTCGAACCCACGAGCGGCAAGATCACAGACCTGAGCCGAAGTAGGACGCTCAACTGACTGAGCCACCAGGTGCCCCTCAACTATGTATGCTTTTTGACCAGCAGTGCTACTGCTGGTATTTGTCCTGAGCAAATAATGGGCAAGAATGAAAAATGCATGATGCAGATGTTCAACATGGTGTCATTTATAATAACGAAAAGGACAGAGGCAACCTAAATACTCAGCAGTAGGGGATTGGTTACAGAACTCGTGGTCATCCATGAGCATTCACGGGCATGCCTTGTCCCTGGGGTCTGGGGTTGGGTTCTCAAGCCAGTGGCCAGAGCTCCTGGTCTCACCCTGCTGACCTCCCGGACCCTGTCTCCCACTACAGTGCACTCGTACAAGTCTATGCAACCTGAAACGGACCGCATCATGGAGTTTTACGACAGAGCCCGTGTGGACGGCCTGGTAAAGCGGGAGGAGACATCAAAGACAATGACGGAGTATTACCGAGGACGGTCTGACTTCCTCTCCTATCGCCATGTCAGTTTCGGGGACAGGGTCAAGAAGTTGTCTCTGAACAGTGCAGAGTCAAACCCCCGGCCGATTGTGGTGAGCACTCACTGGGCCTGGGGATATAGGGTGCCCACTCTCTCCGGCAGGCTGAGGTGACCCTGGGATGGGGACAGCTCTGACTCTGGAGCCACATCTTTCCCAAGTGCCCTCTCCTGTTTTGTGACCCTGAGGCTGTCAGATGCCAGGCTGTGCCCTTAGCCACTGGGCCATGGATGTGTTACTTCCTTACTATTATAAAAAGTGCACACTCGTGACCAAACATTTAGAAAATATGGAAAAATATAACAAGAAAAGGAAAAGTATCTCGGGATGGTATCTCTCAGATATTGCCATGTGTTAATAGGTTTGGTTTTGAGAGTCTAAGTCTAACTGAGGTGTGTGTGTGGTGTGTGTGTGCGAGGGAAGGTAGAATCCCTGCATCACTCACTTAACATTAAATTTGCACTTTTTCCTCTACATCATTACAAATTATTTGGCAACTGTGTCTAACGGCTGTATACCAAAGAGGCTCTTCCTGGAAGTAAGGGATGTTTAATGATAAAGCAGGGTGCTTGGAGAGGTGGTGAGCTCCCCATCTCTGGAGGTGAGCAAATAGAATCTTGTGGAGAGAGCTAGAGAAGAAACGCCGCACCATACAGGGCTGAGGTGGCCGGGTGCTGAGAACCCACGGAGCCAGAGAGCCACTGTCTGGCTGGGAAGGACTGCTCCATATAAAGTCCCAAAAGCCCCCAAAGCCCAGTGTCCGATTGTCCTTTACTTCCACCCTCAGGGGTGTGCACAGAGAGCCCCTTCCCCACCTCCCATCCTATGATGATCTGGCCTCCCAGAAAATCACAGAGCGGTTTGCCCGCAACCCCGAGCAGCCTGCGGATGAGGATGTGGCGGAACGCGTGTTTCTGATCTCGGAGGAGCGCATCCAGCTGCGCTACCACTGCCGTGACGACCACATCACGGCCTCCAAGCGCGAGTTCCTGCGGCGCTCTGAGGTGGACAACAAGGGCAACAAGATCGTCATGACGCCCGACATGTGTATCAGCTTTGAGGTGGGCCTGGGCGCCGTGGCTGGCCCGGGTGGGCCGGGTGGGTGAGGAGAAGTTCCCGGGGCCCTCTGTGCCATCCCAACGACTTGGGGAAACTGGGATGGAAACTCATGGTTCCCAGCCCGGAAATTCATCTCTGCCCCTTGGGAAAATCAAGAGCTCCCATCTGGGGACCTTCATCTTTGCAGC